CATAATAGTTGTGTAAAATCAGTTAGCGACAATAATGAGGAAGGAATCATATATCCAGAGGGCTATATGATATCATATGTCCAGAGGGCTATATGATATCCTATGTCCAGAGGGCTATATGATATCCTATGTCCAGAGGGATATATGATATCATATGTCCAGAGGGATATATGATATCCTATGTCCAGAGGGCTATATGATATCCTATGTCCAGAGGGATATATGATATCATATGTCCAGAGGGATATATGATATCATATGTCCAGAGGGCTATATGATATCCTATGTCCAGAGGGCTATATGATATCCTATGTCCAGAGGGATATATGATATCATATGTCCAGAGGGATATATGATATCCTATGTCCAGAGGGCTATATGATATCCTATGTCCAGAGGGCTATATGATATCCTATGTCCAGAGGGATATATGATATCATATGTCCAGAGGGATATATGATATCATATGTCCAGAGGGCTATATGATATCCTATGTCCAGAGGGCTATATGATATCATATGTCCAGAGGGCTATATGATATCATATGTCCAGAGGGCTATATGATATCATATGTCCAGAGGGCTATATGATATCCTATGTCCAGAGGAATATATGATATCATATGTCCAGAGGGCTATATGATATCCTATGTCCAGAGGGCTATATGATATCATATGTCCAGAGGGCTATATGATATCCTATGTCCAGAGGAATATATGATATCATATGTCCAGAGGGCTATATGATATCCTATGTCCAGAGGGCTATATGATATCATATGTCCAGAGGGCTATATGATATCCTATGTCCAGAGGAATATATGATATCATATGTCCAGAGGGCTATATGATATCCTATGTCCAGAGGGCTATATGATATCATATGTCCAGAGGGATATATGATATCCTATGTCCAGAGGAATATATGATATCATATGTCCAGAGGGCTATATGATATCCTATGTCCAGAGGAATATATGATATCATATGTCCAGAGGGCTATATGATATCCTATGTCCAGAGGGCTATATGATATCATATGTCCAGAGGGATATGTGATATCCTATGTCCAGAGGAATATATGATATCATATGTCCAGAGGGCTATATGATATCCTATGTCCAGAGGAATATATGATATCATATGTCCAGAGGGATATATGATATCATATGTCCAGAGGGATATATGATATCATATGTCCAGAGGAATATATGATATCATATGTCCAGAGGAATATATGATATCATATGTCCAGAGGGCTATATGATATCATATGTCCAGAGGGCTATATGATATCATATGTCCAGAGGGCTATATGATATCATATGTCCAGAGGGCTATATGATATCATATGTCCAGAGGGATATATGATATCATATGTCCAGAGGGATATATGATATATGTCCAGAGGGCTATATGATATATGTCCAGAGGGCTATATGATATTATATATCCAGAGGGCTATATGATATCATATGTCCAGAGGGATATATGATATCATATATCCAGAGGGATATATGATATCATATGTTCAGAGGGATATATGATATCATATATCCAGAGTGCTATATGATATCATATATCCAGAGGGCTATATGATATATATCCAGAGGGCTATATTATATCATATATTCAGAGGGCTATATGATATCATATGTCCAGAGGGATATATGATATCATATGTCCAGAGGGTTATATGATATCATATATCCAGAGGGATATATATATATGATATCATATATCCAGAGGGATATATGACTCTGGAATCATATATTCCTCTGAATATATGATTTGTTTTTTATATACATTAGGAAGAGCACTGACCTGTGAGTGATATCACTGATATACTATCACTCTGAGGCCTCTCTGACTCTCAGCCTTGTGCGTGCAAGTGTGCGTGCGTGCGTGCGTGCGTGTGGACATGCGTTCGCGCGTGTATCTCACGCCTATCCCGCGGGGCAGTAGCGCAAAAAGGAAGTTCCAAAAGGTGTCCACATCTTCAAGGTCTCCAGGTAATTGGAGGCGGAGGTGGAGACGCTCCAGGTGTTGCCCTGAGCTTGTGTGTGTGGTCCACCAGGCTGTTGTGTGAGGTGGGGGGCATTGTACGATCGGAGGGGGGGGGGGTGTATGTACGTGTGCGAAGACGTACATGCGTGTGTGTGTTTGCTGTTTGTAACTGCAGGATCGAGCTGTAAGGTTTTGGGCCCTGGTAAGACAGGAGGGGGGGGGGGGGGGTTTGGGGTTTGGTGGGGGGTTACAATAGCTTGATCCTGCAAACACACACACACACACACGCGCGTAGTAAATACAAATACTAGGCGTGTGTGCGTGTGTGTGTGTGTGTGGGGGGGGGGGGAGGTCTCTGCCTGTCAATTCGCCCCTTTTTTCAGTTGGATTTTTTTTAACAAGTGTTCCTGGGGTGGGGGGGGGGAGGGGTCAGTAGCACAAGAGGAAGTTCCACAGGTGCCTACGTGTTCAAGGTGCACCAACCCTTCCCCCCCCCCACCCCCTCTGCAGCAACGGCAACCCCTCCCCTCTCCACAACCCCTCCTCCACAACCCCCCCCCTCTACACAACCCACCCCTCTACACAACCCCCCCCTCTCCACAACCTCCCCCATCACAACCCCACACCCCGTGTCCCTCAACCTCAGTGATAAGGATACAGTGTAATCACCTCTCTTCTCAATACTGCGTTCTTCAACCTGTGTTCCACAGTCCTCATTCTTCACCACTGAGAAATTTCTCAATACAGAGAATACAAAAATCCTCTCTGCTTTCACGTGTTAAAGAAACTACCATTTTCTAAATCTTCTAACACAACTTATTCTTATCAGTTCTAATCACATTGTAGTTAATACACTACTTTCTGTTGTGTATTCCACAACTCTCTCGCCCAATCAAGATGATCCTTATTATTGTTGTTAAAGATTGGCTACCTGGAACAAAAAGTTCCAAGTAGCACGGGCTATGGTGAGCCCGCAGTGCCTTAAGATGATCCTGCAACGATGACGACATATTGCAATTCAGGCCTAATATACGCCGTCTTAAATGTCTTGGAGGTTTCTTCATTTGATGACTCTTGAATAGCTGATCTTGTTATTGGCATTCACGTACGATGGTCAATGAGAACGCCTACCTCCTTCAGTATTAATTTATTTAGCAGGTTGTGCATTCTGAACCGATATTTGCAGCTTTCTCAATCGGATTCGTGTGTGTGTGTGTGTGTGTGTGTGTGTGGGTGTGGGTGTGGGTGTGGGTGTGTGGGTGTGTGTCGTTTGTGTGTGTGTGTGTGTGTGTGTGTGTGTGTGTGTGTCGTTTGTGTGTGTGTGTGTCGTTGTGTGTGTGTGTGTCGTTTGTGTGTGTGTGTGTGTGTGTGTGTGTGTGTGTGTGTGTGTGTGTGTGTGTGTGTGTGTGTGTGTGTGGGGTTCACGTTCTTAGTTGAGCTTGACTTAGTTTAGATTACTTTCTGGTAAGTTAGGTTAGATTAGGTTAGACTAGATTAAGTTAGGTTAGCTTAGCTCAGATTAGGCAAGCTTAGACAAGCTTAGACCACCTGAACTTCGTAGGTTAGTTACTTTAGGTTAAATTACATAAGCTAAGCTTATGTTATGTTAGCTTTGGGTAGCAAGGTTTGCTTAGATTATGTCTTAAGTTAGATTACTATAGCTTTAGTTCAGTTGCCTTAGGTTAGTTTAGCTAACCTTAGATCAACTTAGGATTAGTTAGCCTAGGTAATATAAGCTTTAGTTAGCGTTGATTAGGGTACGTTAGCTTAGATGAAGTTATGTTGCGAGTTTTCAAGATAACTTTATTGAGTACCGAATCAATTTCAATGTCTTCTTGCTCTTTGGACTGAAATCGCACGTCATTGGTCGTAGCAAACAACGATTGTTTAATGAATGGATATCTTTAGGTATTTCTTAGTGCTAGTTATCTCGGTTATTGTTTTATTCAAAGATATCCCATTATCTTAGCATCCTTATTAGTAAGTTAAAGCTTGATATGTTGTGAGCCTTCCTATATCTTATTTATATATTATGTGTATCTCGAAAAAATGGACAAAAAATTATTTGAAGCATTTTTGGAAATGCACATTTTTTCAGGAATTAGAGTTATAGTAAATGTCTTTGACTTTAATTATGATATTTAGGTATCTTTTCCTGGTTGAGAGATATAATTATGTCATATGCATAGATTAAATTAACACCAAGCTCACACACCAAGCCATTAGAATTTTAAAATTTTCAAAGGGTTAGATTAGCAATTCTAGTACGAATCTTCTTTATTTCTTACGATGTTCTTTACTTTGAAACAAAATTGAAAAGTTAACTCCCCAACATGTATTTCTCATGTTGATTCAAACGTAGGTTCGAACCCTCATCACGGCCCTTGTGGATTTGTTTATTTTTCAATTTTTATTGATCTGTTGCTAAACGAAGTGTTTGGTTGAAGCACTCGACATCTTCGGAGGCATTTTACTTCAAAAGCCAACATGTTCATGAAGAGAACTCTTTTTAACACCATGCAAAATGCCTTGAAAGAGATGACTGTCATTCATATCTTTAAATGTCTACTAGAACTGTCAGCAGGAATGATCTCCATGTATAGGCAAGACAACAATATCTCTTTCAAGGTGCCTGACGATGCACAACCAACAAAGCATCTATGAAAGAACATAAAATCTCTACACACAACCAGGCCATCACCAGAGAGGTCCTGGCCTATAACACAAAAATAATCGACAGTTACAACGAATATATATATATATATATATATATATATATATATATATATATATATATATATATATATATATATATATATATTGCAGCTTCAAATGATTTACACCCACTTGCCCCTCGGCCTCCAAAGGTGACCAGTCTGATCTAAATCCATTATTGCATGTAAATTTGATATCTTGTTTTGGTGGTGGCTGGGTGGAGCCTCAACTTATCATGTTGAGCATCAGCTAAGATAGCCGGCCGGCAGTGTACTAAGGTCAGGCACTTGCATGATATAGCCACCCACAGCCAGTCTCCTGACCTCAGTCACGCACTCAGGCACTACAAGTCCTTCCCCAGCAGCAACAGCAGCAGCAGCAGCAACAGCAGCAGCAACAGCAGCAACAGCAGCAGCAGCAGCAACAGCAGCAGCAGCAGCAACAACAGCAGCAGCAGCTGCATCAGCAGCAGCAACAGCAGCAGCAGCAGCAATATGTGCTGACGTGCGCATGAACAGCTGCTGGGCATCCTCGTGCTGACTGTTGTCGCCCAAGACGGTGAGAAACAGCAGGTTAGATGAGGAAGCTTCCTCATCTCGAACATCACGCTCGAGATGAGGAAGGTGACCAGGATGGGAAGGATGAGAGATGGGGTGAGAAACATGGTTGAAAGAGGGAGAAACACGAGTGAAAGAGTGAGAAACACGACTGAAAGAGTGAGAAACACGACTGAAAGAGTGAGAAACATGACTGAAAGAGTGAGAAACGTGACTGAAAGAGTGAGAAACATGACTGAAAGAGTGAGAAACGTGACTGAAAGAGTGAGAAACATGACTGACAGAGTGAGAAACATGACTGAAAGAGTGAGAAACATGACTGAAAGAGTGAGAAACATGACTGAAAGAGTGAGAAATATGACTGAAAGAGAGAAACATGACTGAAAGAGTGAGAAACGTGAGTGAAAGAGTGAGAAACGCGAGTGAAAGAGGGAGAAACATGACTGAAAGTGAGAAACATGACTGAAAGAGTGAGAAACATGACTGAAAGAGAGAAACATGACTGAAAGAGTGAGAAACGTGAGTGAAAGAGTGAGAAACGTGAGTGAAAGAGGGAGAAATATGACTGAAAGAGAGAAACATGACTGAAAGAGTGAGAAACGTGAGTGAAAGAGTGAGAAACGTGAGTGAAAGAGGGAGAAATATGACTGAAAGAGTGAGAATGAAGGACAGGGAGGGAATACACAACGAGGGAAGAAAGAATACAAGTAGATAGGAAATAAATATACTATAGGGAACCGGTGGCTGAGTGGACAGTACACTGGACGCGTGATCCTGTGGCCCGGGAGACAAAGACGGAATAGGAGCAGAGTTAGGGGGTAAGAAAGGTTTGATGTATAAGGTAGTGTGGCGTGGTAAAGTTGTGGGAGTGGGCGTCGTCGGAGTAGTTACGTAGAGCATCAGAAGTGAACATAGGCAGTGTTAAGGCAAGTGAACATAGGCAGTGTTAAGGCAAGTGAACATAGGCAGTCTTAAGGCAAGTGAACATAGGCAGTCTTAAGGCAAGTGAACATAGGCAGTCTTAAGGCAAGTGAACATAGGCAGTCTTAAGGCAAGTGAACATAGGCAGTCTTAAGGCAAGTGAACATAGGCAGTCTTAAGGCAAGTGAACATAGGCAGTCTTAAGGCAAGTGAACATAGGCAGTCTTAAGGCAAGTGAACATAAGCAGTCTTAAGGCAAGTGAACATAGGCAGTCTTAAGGCAAGTGAACATAGGCAGTCTTAAGGCAAGTGAACATAGGCAGTCTTAAGGCAAGTGAACATAGGCAGTCTTAAGGCAAGTGAACATAGGCAGTCTTAAGACAAGTAGTTAAATTAACAAGGTAGTAACGAGGGGGTTCCAATTGTGAGCTATTCCATGGCAACCCCTGTCTGGCCAGTGAAGCTCTGAGGGGGGGGGAGTGGGGGTTTCCTGACTTGACACCTGAAGTTCACAGTCGGGGCGATTTTTGCGTCATCAGAGGAACCATTTTTGCGTCATCAGAGGGACCATGATTGCGTCCATCAGAGGGACCCCTCATGCTCCCTCTCTGCCTCTTCTGATTCATCACAGTGCTTCATGCAGAGGATTCTATTCTGTAAATGCATTTCTAAAAATCATCCGTGTAACTTAAGGTATATTGTGATCTACTACTGCAAATTTTGGAGCCATGAGATATGAATAGGTTGTTGTGTGATTCGAGAAGGGACGGAGTCTATTCCTTCTAGCAAGTCTTTCCCATAGATTAGTAATAGAATTGACTCTTTTTAACACTGACCAGCACGCAGACAAGACAGCTTACTAGGGGGGGGGGGGAAGTTAGCTAAGTCTTTCTAAAAATGAGCCACAGGAAGATATACACGCAGTCTTCCAAGGTTTTGCTAATGAACAAGTGAAATGAGTGAAAATGATGTTATAACATTATCAAAAGTACATTTTAGTACTTCAGTACTACTTCAGAAGTACTTATTTTAGTACTTAAGTACTACTTCAGAAGTACTTATTTTAGTACTTGAGTACTACTTCAGAAGTACTTATTTTAGTACTTAAGTACTACTTCAGAAGTACTTATTTTAGGACTTCAGTACTACTTCAGAAGTACTTATTTTAGTACTTGAGTACTACTTCAGAAGTACTTATTTTAGTACTTGAGTACTACTTCAGAAGTACTTATTTTAGTACTTCAGTACTACTTCAGAAGTACTTATTTTAGTACTTCAGTACTACTTCAGAAGTACTTATTTTAGTACTTCAGTACTACTTCAGAAGTACTTATTTTAGTACTTTAGTACACATTACAAGATTTTACAAAAATCAGGTAGGGGGCAGGAATGATAACTTCGTCAGAGACCAACCGGGGACCAGGAGCTTACGATCGATCTCTGTTAAGCATATCAAGAAAAAGAACACATTGACGCTACGCAACTTTCAACTCTTCAGCCACGACACTAGACGAGTTGATGACAATCCACAATCTTCACCCCCCCCTCCCTCCCCTTCTTCCTCACTCCGTCGCTTCCATCAATCACTATCTGTCACTCGGGAGTCCTCACAGTCGTGTACCAGTTGAGCATCAGTCTGTAGGTGTGACTGGTGAGCACTCGAGGAAGGGGAAGGGACTCCTACCGGCAGATAGAGGGAGGGAGGGAGGGAGTGTCATGTCTCCTGGTACCCACCGCTGATCGCTACTCTAGATATGCCGCAGAGCTCTGCTTCAGCGACTGCTCCTGCGCTGGCTTCGCCGATGCGGCGAAGGCCTGCCAACCGCAGGAAGGTAAAATTATAAGGCATTAACTTAGTGATCAATGAACAAGTTCACTCAAGTTTGGAGTCTCTGAACACGTTGTACTGACCGAGGGGTGAGAGTTGCTTGAGCTATCTTCACTCCTTTGAGTGCACTTATACCTCAATAAACTTATTTAAATTTCAAGTCCGTAGTGCAGGCTAATGGACTCAACTCACATCTCTTGAGGGGGAATATTATTAGATGGTCATAGCTAGCTATATCCTCAGTAAGCCCTCATATTGAATAGGGTACAGCAGCACACAGATGCGTACCCAAGTGCACTCAAAAATATAATCATCAGTTATTAAATTTTTTAGCTGGACCTCCATGCTGGGGGTACACACAGTCACTGGCCTCAGCGATTCGCATATGCCGCTGATTTGTGTGTGTTGATGCGTCCCTCCAGAGGTAAGTGGGGGAGTTGATGGTTTTTTTGTTAATCCGAGAGCTATCTCCTCCCACTTCCTTCTCTTCCCTCCCTTCTTTTCTTTCTCCTCTTCCCCTTCCTCCTCTTTCTTCTCACGTCTTGCCTATGTGGTTTCTTCTCTTGCCTGTCCCAACTCTAATCACTTTGCGTATACTAGCACGTCTCAACATCATATTCCAGGACACTGCAGAAGGCGTATATCCGTCCATGTGGGGCTGTTGCTGTGTGTACCCAACGCAACTCGTCCGTGTTGAAACAATCCAGTGAACCACAACTATTATGTTACCTCGTGATCTGTTCTGCAAATGATCAAAATCCAGTTTACAAGCAGGTATTTATCCTGGTATATATATATATATATTCTGAATATAAATGTGTTTAATTGGTATTCATTGATGAGTCCAGCATCCCTCGGGGCGATGATCTGGAAGATTTAAATTGACAGGATTCATCATGATTCTTCACCAGCCTTGCGTTATACGCCATGATCAACAGGTTACCTTGAGGTTACCTTGAGGTGCTTCCGGGGCTTAGCGTCCCCGCGGCCCGGTCGTCGACCAGGCCTCCTGGTTGCCGGACTGGTCAAAGGTTTGACCAGTCTGTTAAAAATACGACGCATATAGTAATATACGATAGATATAATCTATACACGGGGCGTTTCCGGCTAGGCAGAACAGTGTCATTTTTGACGGAGGGGCCAATCAACACGACGAAGTACGTTGACGTATACTAGGAACTGAGTGGACCTAATAGTACTGCGGTACTCGCCCTACTGGTGCCTGCAAGGATCGAGCATTAGCTCTTGGACCTGGCTTCATACCAGTCTCCTGCAAATGTGCATTTGTGCTTCCTCACCGGGACTCGACTCTGTCCGGCCTCCTGTGTGACAGGATCACCAGGTGCGCCAAGGACAGCCATCATCCCGTTACTCCTTTGTGTGTTCCTGGTGTGTGTGTGTGTGCTTAGGAGCTAGGAGCAGCCTCTCACACCTGTGCGTGTGTGTGCGAGACGTCACACTCTACGTCGTATTCCGGACGTAGTGGGGGTTATTTCGAAGGATATTCCGTTAACCTTCCACCTTGGCTATTCCGCGGTACACTTCGCCTTGCTCTTCCATTCTCCTAATCTGTTGGTTTTCATCTTTCCTTCCCCTTTCATTTATTCTCTTCCCCTCCTCCTCCTTCTCCGGTACCCAGGTTAGGGTATGGGAGGACTATAGAGAGGGTGGGGGGACGTTGGAGGCTGGGTATGGTGGGGTTGGCGGGGGGGGGGGGGGAGGGGGAGGGGGCCCTGGAGGCTGTTGCTTGTTGCTTATGCCGTAATAAAGTTGTTTGTGGGGGATAGTTGTCGTCGTCTCAGGTCCTCTGTGGGTGATAGTTGTCGTCTCAAGTCCTCTGTGGGTGACAGTGGTCGTCGTCTCAGGTCCTCTGTGGGTGACAGTTTTCGCCGTCTCAGGTACTCTGTGGGCGACAGCTGGAGAACAGAGTGCCACAAAGCGTTCAGAATCGGGTCACGGAATGATAAGTTTCTTTACCTTTCATATATCCATTCACTTTGGTGGATCGAGCGACGGCCTCGGATAGGGACGGCGTTCGAGGCCCCCCGGGGGACGAGGTGGTTTGGCACAGTTTCGTTGGGTCCTCTCTCCTCTGTCCCAGCTCCTCTCTTCTCTATCCCAGCTCCTCTCTTCTCTATCCCAGCTCCTCTCTTCTCTATCCCAGCTCCTCTCTTCTCTATCCCAGCTCCTCTCTTCTCTATCCCAGCTCCTCTCTTCTCTATCCCAGCTCCTCTCTTCTCTATCCCAGCTCCTCTCTCCTCTGTCCCAGCTCCTCTCTTCTCTATCCCAGCTCCTCTCTTCTCTATCCCAGCTCCTCTCTTCTCTATCCCAGCTCCTCTCTTCTCTATCCCAGCTCCTCTCTTCTCTATCCCAGCTCCTCTCTTCTCTATCCCAGCTCCTCTCTTCTCTATCACAGCTCCTCTCTCCTCTATCCCAGCTCCTCTCTCCTCTATCCCAGCTCCTCTATCCCAGCACCTCTCTCTCCTCTATCCCAGCTCCTCTCTCTCCTCTATCCCAGCTCCTCTCTCTCCTCTATCCCAGCTCCTCTCTCTCCTCTATCCCAGCTCCTCTCTCTCCTCTATCCCAGCTCCTCTCTCCTCTATCCCAGCTCCTCTCTCCTCTATCCCAGCACCTCTCTCTCCTCTATCCCAGCTCCTCTCTCCTCTATCCCAGTTCTCTCTCTTTCTCCCTCCTCCTCGTCCCACTTCCCCCTCTAACCCCTTCTCTCCATCCCTCTCTCTCCCTCCCTTCCTTCCCATCACCCCACTTTCCCCCTCCTCCCTCTCCCCCCTCTCCAGAAAATTACCTTACATTCCACAAACAAGGGAAATTAAGTGAAGTGGCTGGTGGTTCGAGATAGAGAGGTCAAGAGCGCGCCTTCCTTTACAAATGACTCAGTCTAGTTTGTACAGCTGAAAACATTCTAGGGGCAGTTAATACCTGAAGAGTAATATATTGCTCAATATAGGTAACCTAGCGTGGTTTGTATAGTTCTTACAAACTGAAATCGGCTGACGAAAGTGACGTGCTGTTCCGTTTTCTGTTTTGGGTCCTCTGGCTTAGGTTGTTAGGTTTGGAGAGGAAATTTTCAATTAACGGGTTTCATGACGTTTAGAAAGCCTTAGAAGAATTTCCTGCCCTCTTAACCTACCAGAGGACCCGTAACTTTCTGGTTTGGAAAACAAAAATAGAAAATTTATTTTCAATTATTTGTCATTTTCAATTTACGTTTTTTGGGGGGCAGCTGCGTATACGAGCGAAAAGCGACGTAATTGGTAAGAGGAGGGATTAGGTAGCTAGAGGGCTCTATACCCTACAGGGCAATAGCTAGAGGGCTCTATACCCTAAAGGGCAATAGCTAGAGGGCTCTATACCCTAAAGGGCAATAGCTAGAGGGCTCTATACCCTAAAGGGCAATAGCTAGAGGGCTCTATACCCTAAAGGGCAATAGCTAGAGGGCTCTATACCCTAAAGGGCAATAGCTAGAGGGCTCTATACCCTAAAGGGCAATAGCTAGAGGGCTCTATACCCTAAAGGGCAATAGCTAGAGGGCTCTATACCCTAAAGGGCAATAGCTAGAGGGCTCAATACCCTAAAGGGCAATAGCTAGAGGGCTCTATACCCTAAAGGGCAATAGGTAGAGGGCTCTATACCTGAAGAGCAATAGCTAGAGGGCTCTATACCCTGAAGTTGTTACCACCTACCTTGAGGTTACCTTGAAGTGCTTCCGGGGCTTAGCGTCCCCGCGGCCCGGTCGTCGACCAGGCCTCAAATATCTCACCACGGGGACACATAATACATAAAGCTACACACCCTTGATGTATCCAATAGCCGTGTCACCCAGCAACTAGAACTGTCACTTGCCTGACTTAATCGGAAAACAATGAAAGCTTCTTCGTTACTTTCTTTTAAAGCTGACGAGGTTAGTGATCCCCCGCGAAGGTGGCGGCGTCCAGTCATCACCACCCTCCCCTCCCCCTTCTTTTGCAAGATTGAACGGGGTCACTGGGGGTCCTGTTTGTGCGGGAGAAGGGGAGAAGGGGGCTAGCCCCCCTCTCCTTCATATAATTTCTTTGGACGGTGTTCAGCACTTGGCTGGGTCAGATGAGTGAGTCGTGAGGTGTGTGTGTGTGTGTGTGTGTGTGTGTGTGTGTGTGTGTGTGTGTGTGTGTGTGTGTGTGTGTGTGTGTGTGTGTGTGTGTAGAGTTGCCTTGTTAACGCTCATGTTATTGCTCGGTCTCTCTCTCTCTCTCTCCCCCCCCCCCTCTCCCCTTCCTTGCCCTTCTCCCCCCCCCCCTCCTTCCCTCTCTTTCCCCCCCACCCCTCTCTCTCTCCCCTCTCTCCTAGCCTCCCCACAACCAAACTCACAATCTAAGCAGCGAGCAGCAAAATATCCACCATAGATCATGAGAGACATTGCCAAACAATAAATGAAACTTTGATTGTAGAGAGAGAGCTGACCAGGAAGCATGCCCAGGGCGGGGTATGCAGGTGGGCATGAAGCAGGTGGGTTCACGTGCCCGTACCCCAACGGGTGGGTTCTCGTACCCACGTTTGCATAACACCCACACGTGAAGACTGGTGCAGGCAGATATGAAAGAGAGGAAGGTATATAAAGAGACAGATCCGAAGATAGGACAAGAAGGCAGACAGATTAAATAGGTAGATAGGACGAGAAGGTAATCAGATAAGTAGGGAGATAGGTCATCAAGAAAGACCTAATTAAGGTAGGTAGGGAAGAAGGAATGTCGGCAAGTCAAGACGACTCGTCACACTTCGCAATATATATATATATATATATATATATATATATATATATATATATATATATATATATATATATATAATATATATATTATAATATAATATAATATAATATTCTCTCTTATCTGCATGACATCAAGGGTGCTTGGATTAGTGGACGAGTGAATGGAAGTGTTAAAGACAAGAATATACATTACATAATGAACAAAAGATTAGGAAAAGAGAGAGAGAGAGAACTGTTCGTGAGAGCAATCCGTGGCTGAGACGAGAGAGGTGTTGATGTAAACACCAGAGGATTTGATAGGGAAAAGTATTGGATAATATTCCAGCTGACATTTGTCTGAAATTCGCGTCACCATTTTCTAATCTTTAGCATAAGATGCCAGTGAAAAGTTGCTGGTTTTATGTTTAATAAATATTAAATAAACATATGATAGTTAAACCTACTAAGAATTTGTGAAAGTGGCAGCTTTATGCTAGAAAATTAGAATTATGTTACTAGGTCACCAAAATGGAACGTGGCTGTTACTAAGTGACTATGTTACTAATTAATGTGGCTGTTACTAATTATCGTGGCTATGTTACTAATTATCGTGGCTATGTTGCTAATTAACGTGGCTATGTTGCTAATTAACGTGGCTATGTGGCTAATTAACGTGGCTATGTGACTAATTAACGTAGCTAACTCGCTTCACCAGCGAATGATATTATATATCATCCTATGTTTTAATGTTTTAATCTTTAAAACAACAGTCTGTTGACTGTGAACATCATAAAAGCATTCCCCAGGACCGAATTTAATTACTATTACTAAAAATTAAACCAAACCAAATCCTCTTTCCGGTTTTGATATAAACCACACTTTAAGACACCCTGTGCGGTTGGGAAGGGTGAGTAGCCATTTTAAAAACGGGGACGTTGTTAAAATGGCTACTTACAATTTTCTCCCTACTATAGGGATTATCCATTGACAGGGGTGGTGTGGGAGGGAGTGATGCCCATCCGCTTTA